TTTATAAAAGCTTACAGAAACGAGCTAAAGGGGCCAATTTATATTGGGGCAACCTGTATATGTCATGCAACATCTAACATTCAGTATAAATTCTATTTCGATTTAGAAATTTTTGACGTCGGAAGTCTAACTTCGCCACCTGTATGCGAACAAATATTTCTTGATTTGTTGGAAGATATTATCAACATGCCCAGAAAGAGCTTGGTTTATTCCTGGATTCGCCACTGGACCAATATATGTTATAGTAAACCCACCTATACATAGAAAATAACGATTTTCACTTTACATCTTCATTAGCTCAGCTCTCATTCATACTGCTGCTCTAATATTCATGTCCTCTATTTGTATTCCTTAATCCAGTTGTTATATTCATATAGATTTTCTGCACCAACGCAGGATTCCGCTCCCCTCGCCGCCATTTCCTGTGTCTCAGCATTGAAAAGTGCGGTTAGACAGCTTTATTCACCATCAAAAGGAAACCATTCGATCAGCCGTATCAAATGTCGCCTTTGAAGTAGAAATATCTGCGATGTTTCGTCCGATTATATAAAATATTTTTGATGTTCGAGGACTAGATAAACAGAAGGGAAACTCAAATCGCGCCTTCGCAAGTTGTCATGCGGACATTACAAGTACACATTTTCAAGGCGGTGAAACAGAATTAAAAAACCGCGTCAAGTAGGTTGACTTTGCACTTCCTACGTAACGCTGTCTTCAGTTCATGCACCTTGCCGTTCGCCTCAAATCAGCCAGCCTCGACAGCGGCTGTCCGGCAGTTGACGACAGCCATCGAATGTACCGTAACGCAGCGCAGAGGTAGCCAGAGACCAGTGACGTGTATTTCTCTTATATCGTTTTGAGGAAATCTCTGATGTGTGAAATGTATAATACATAGAAGCGTAGAAGTACTGGGGTTGGAAGCGTATAAATATACTAATGCCAGAAATTTGAACTATCCTCCTCCACCCCTATAACCTCCAATTTTAATCCTTAGAATTTTTTTTCGAAAGCGACCAGGAGCATCTGAAACATGAAAAAACGAAGTTTGGACGACTTTCTTTTTTTTTGTTTTCCAAAACCTACCAACCTTTTTCGTATTAGGCATTGTATTAGCCTTGTGTGCTAAATTTTATCAAAATTCACAAGTTACTATCGGCAAGGATTAGCGGACAGACAGACCGAAAAACAGACTGACGCAAATTAGTGACATGGTTGACATGACGTTATCAAAATCATCACCTGTTTCACTTATTGACCAGTTTTATGAAGATCGATTGAAGTGTCAAGGACAAGATGAGTTTCAGTAGTTACACTATACATGACTAAATGAAACGAATGAGCAAAAAATATAGAAACCGCTGTAAAGGAATGTTTTTATAATGATGTGTGCTAATTATAAAATGAGAGAATCGTATCCCGTACAGAATGTCCAATATGCGTTCTATTTAGCGCAGGATGTTTATATTGCTTTGACAGTTGATTGAAAGATGTATTTAGACATGATGCCAGGCTGCTGATTCTCTCCCCATGTACACACTTTTGACGCTGCAGATTTATTTTAAATTGCGCGATTGCCGCTTCACTTGTATTATTGTGAACCATTATGTAGATGATTTGATTTAGTTTGTGGAGCGCATGCAAAATAGCTCGCAGATAAGTGCATTTTCATGTAGTTTGATTTTTAATTCGATAATCGATAATAGCTAAATAAACTTTATTATGTACGTATTACAAAAAATCCATTTTTCCTACCCACGCCTATTGGCGTGTTGTAATCGTGAAAATTGAGACAATATTTGGATGTTATATGTCATGTAGGTACACCACGAAAATACATGTCACTCATTTCCGTTGGTGTGTCTGTCGGTGTCCGAAAATTTTTGGCCCAGCTATAACTTGGAAAATACTGTTCAGATTTGGATGTATTACATACAAGGCTACTATTATGCCAAGGACAAAAAGCTTTGTAGTTTTGAAAATCGGTCCAGAGATGGCGGAGTTACGGACAAAAAACGAAAAAAAAAATAAAACTCGGCAAACTTCATTTTTAACGCTTCAGAGGATCCAGATAATTTTCGGAAAAAATTGTGTATGTGTTGAAAATTGATGTTAGGGTAGTGTATTACATACATATTATATGATGCATCAGATTTATCCATACGTTTGCTCTTAAAATAAAAAAAGAAATATCAGAAGAACATGTCGCGTCTAGGCCGCACTTGCAGTAGATACGCTACGAACGGTGCCGACAGCATAGCACGGCTGACGTGGGCAGATAGTTGATACTTTCAGTAAGGGCAGGGAAGACGTTTCTAGATCGTAGTGTTATCTAATGGGTGAGTTATGAACTAATTGTATGGGCCTGTCTGGCTCACTTGATCCATTTACGTTTTTGTGTTATACATGCTCGTAGTTAAATTTTTTTATAATAATCTTGTATGCACTGATGACAGCGTTTGGTGGCAAAAGCAGGGTCAACCTACTTGACGCCATTTTTTTAATAATAGAATATCCTTTATGTCAACGATTACTTTTACTAGCACTTTGTTTTTGTGGTGTGAAACACATTATCGATGGTAGGAACAAGAGGGCTTTCCATAATGGATGGAACATAACGCCTGACCAAACGAGATGCATAGAAACAGAGTCATAATCACAACAATGCTTAAGATCATCGATTCTCCTCAGCCTCGACACGAATGTAAAACGACCATCATATTTTTCGATTAAATCAATCTGGTCTGTGCGACTCCCTCATTCGCATTCGTTGAACATTCGTCAAGAGATTTTTCTAAACCAGGACGGTTAACCAATAACGCAACGTTTCCCTATAAACCAATTCAATCTACTGAGATTAATTCTAGTTATTTGGGAACGAATTTCGTTTGGGTTTTCACTTAAATTCGCTCCCAATTTGATCGATTTCGGCTTTATATCACTGCATAAGAAAAACTAATTTTTTGTAACGGCACAGTTGAAGTAATGTTTTGTTTACTATTTACTAGATTTATTCCTGGAACGAATGCTGGAAAAATCTGACGCACACCGACAGAAAAAATAAAAGTTTGCTCCTAGTATCTGAGTAAAACTCTAACGAGAATTTAAGCCGCTGCATTTTCCAAAAGAAAAATTGTAAATATCCGACGGGACTCAAGTCCATAAGGATCCCAGTAGAAAGATCGAGATGCAAAACGGACTAGTTATATCCTCAGTTCTCCGAAAAAAGGTGTTTCGCTGCCTCTGCATTATATTGTATCTCAGCTAAAAGAAACTCGATTCTTCATCTGCTACTACAAAAAAGAATCTTGTAACATTGACGTGCACTGACAGAAAAAGTAAAACCTTGCCCTTAGTGCCAGATTATACTCCGAGAAAAAATCAGTTCTCTACATTAATCCAGAAGAAAAATTTGAACCATTTCATGGATCTCAACTTCCGAAGGACGTCTCTCGTAAAACTTGGTACCCTACATTAACTAAACAAACTTCAAATCTTCTTGTATACGTGAGCTTAATAATTGAAATCCTTAATGTTGATGACTAACACTACGGTCAATCTCGAAAATGAGGTGTTATGTTTTTGGATGTTATATGATATGTACATCACGAAAAACCATGTCACTCATTTCCGTCGGTCTGTCTGTCTGCCTGTCTGTCCGCTAATCCTTAACCCCGCTATAACTTGGAATGTACCGGCGGATTTTGATAAAATTTTCACATAGGGTTACTACTATGCCAAGGACAAAAAGCTTTGTAATTTTTAAAGATTGGTCCAGAGGCGGCGGAGAAACAGGCCAAAAACGGAAGAAAAATAAAAAATCGTTTTTTGACGTTTCAGAGATTATTAATCATTTACCAACAATGTTTGTAGGGGTTAAAAACTGAGGGTTAGGAGTTGCAGGGGTGAGGTAGGGTAGGTCACTTTTTTACGTTGTTATATTTATGCGCTTCCAACTCCAATAATTCACTCATCATAGATGTCCCCGTATATTTATCCTTAAAACAAAAAACAAAACAACCCTTGCGAGTCCTAGTCGGTAACACGCCAAAAATTTTTTATTCTCGATGAGGGCCTATATATCTACAAGAATATAATCTCCGTTGTAAGTCTTATTACATTTTTTTTTCAAACTTCAAAAAGGTCATCGTAGTGGTCGAAACGTCGTTCAATAAACAGAATCCAATCATACCGGGTGTTTCAAATTCAACCCGATCTTGGCGTAGACTGAAAAATTTACCTAGATGTACAAAATTCCAATATAGTGTCCATATGAAGAAACAAAGTTGGTGATGGAAGTGGAAAGAAGATACCTTGACTAGGCCATCTTGTAGGGATGAAAAAGTAGCAACATTAACATGCAATTTAGTTTGCAGTCTCATCTCAAACAAAGTCAGGAAAAAATAAAAATAATATGGCGATAAATCTGGCATATGAAACAAATTACTATTTAGGAAATTCTGTTTTTTTTAAATAACTAAAGTTTGGCAATGTCAATGTATAACATTTTTTAAATTAGAATTAAAAACTCCATTCACCTGTGCAAAAATCCAAATGACGACTAATATGCAATTTATTTTGAAATCCCACTACAAATAAACTCAGGAAAAAATTAATGCAAAGTACTTCAAAATTTCTAAACGGTGTTTTGTTAGTTATTCGCAACTTTTTCTCCATGTACAATATATCTGTGCCTTAGAGGTAAACGATCTTAACTCCATTTTTGCAGTTTTTGTGATTATCTACCTATAATTAGTATCCCTGGTTAATCTTACGTGGCGTAAATGATCGTAGCGCCTAACCACGATAATCATTAAATATATGAAATAGAACAAGCAGCTAGTGATTTTTTGTTAGAGGTGAACAGTCGCTTCTCCATACATACGCACAATACTATCGTATGAAGCATCGCTACACAGCGGTAAATAGTCGTGTCTCCGTCGTGCACCGCTTACTTTACAAACTGTGTTGTTCAATCATTCTTCAAAGTTGATCAAGGTGCTTAAGTAACAAAAAAATGGTAATAATGTCCTCAAGTGCTCAAAAATTAGTGCATGATCGTAAACTACTTTTACATATTACAAATAATAAGTCCTTCATTAAAGTGTATCATTCACAATTTCAATTCACATTCTTCTACGTGGACACACACACACACACATGGAAGCTGATCATATCCATGCACTTATCGAACGAGTTATAAAAAAACAACCAACCATGAAAATATGTACGCCATGGGACTGGCAGCAACTTATAAGATCAACCGGAGCCACAGTTTTCGAGATGCAGTTAGATGACTTCAAGAACTTCGAGGCCTTATATTCCGGCACAGGATCACCTCCCAGTCAAAAGAAAGAGACAGTAGACAAAGAAAGCTTTTTAGGGTCATCAGCGGTGTGGCTTGAGGTTCGAAAACAGGATCCAAGGATATTCTACTATAAAACAGACATATTCCAAGAGGACTACAAAATGGTAAACATGAATAGATCCACTAGAAAACCGATAGAACTATGATCGCCGCGTCAAACCCGAAAAGGACTTAGCAAGAAAAAGCACGATCATCTTCTCATGCTTCTGCAATGGATACCATAAGCATTTCATGATTTTTATAAAAATATTCCTGTGCTGGGTCAACAAGGAGATGATGACGACGACGACGATTGAATATATATTATCCAGATGTCATTTTTTGTAATAATAAAATGTAGCCTATTTCCACCAATTGTACTTACTGTGTTTCATCCTATGCTGCACCTGGATTTTATTATCATAGTAAATAGTCGTAACTCACAAAATAATCTGAATATCAAATTCTACGATCATTAACATGAGCATTAGCATTACTGTTCTGTGTACCATATAATATGTTTTCCCAAAAAACTATATTCGCATATTAACAGTAACATGAACAAAAAGCCATTCTGCTACTAACTCAATCTTTAATTTGCTTGTTCTCTGAATTGCATTATATATAGTTACAACTATGTACCTCTAAGGCACAGATATGTGGTACGAGCCCGCCAGACAATGGAGTTAAAGTTAAAATACTACACCCTCCCTGCAGCAACTTATCCAAACTCGATCCCTCATCTGATATTTCATCGCAGATTCCCCGGTGCGACTAGATTTTCTTTCTGGAAAGAATCCTGGGAAAACCCACCAACCCGTAGCAGATAGAAAGAAAAAGTAATCGCCCTATAAAAACTGAGGACGACGGTGACTGTGGGCCTTCTCGCAAATGCCATCCAACAGACAGCCTTAGAACAAAGAAGGCATGAACCATACTCTCATTCAGTCGGTTTTTATCGTTCGGAAAATACAATATCCAGCCACAAGCATGTACGATGGGATAGCGGATAGGGGTAGGAAAACATAGGCGTCCCTAAAAGGTCCATTACAACAAATTTTCTGAAATACCCTAGCGTCATCTATAATACGGTAGCAGAATACAACAATTCATCTAGAAATCTACGTTAAAGAGAGTGTCCGACTCTGCTATTGTCTCATAGATATCGCTAGGAGACGTTTTTCCAGTACTACTAACCTTAGGCAGTTCAAAAATCGGATTCATAAGCTTTCGTCAAACAACGAAGGCCCGGATTTATAGAGGACCTACTCGGATTTAACTGTGCCAAGACTAAGAAGTCTAATTAAAGGATCAAGGATGGACACAGTGCCTTAGAAAGTACATATGGGGATCACAATGGATCCATTTGGGTCTCAGGGTCTCTCTTTTGTAATCCGTAAGCTTTGTATATCTAACAGCAACATTAAAAAGATGAAAAGACAAGACTAAATTTTTTGATGCATACTGAAAAGGTCCAACTGAAACTATCACTTTGAGCTGTATGTACTTTAATTTTGAATCTAAAAGTTCTTGTCGCCCAGCCTTGCAGTGAATGTACAAACACTATATGTATATTCTACTTCCAGTTCAACCCAAAGCTATTTTCAAACTTGAACATTTTCATATGGATACAAATGTGTTCTTCCATTATCCGCCTATATAATAATGATGCTGTCTGGGGTGAAAATAATATTTTTCCTACATATATGCAGACTCTCACTGACAGAAAGAAGTAAAAATACTAAAAGTATTTAATAACGTCTTTGAATGAAAAAGGTGAATACAGACTAAAAAGCTAAAACGGCTGAGCATAATTACAATTACCAAGATCTGCTCACATACCTCTGAGTTTCACAGAGTTCCAGCATGAACAAAAAGAAATGAGACTACGGAAATACAAAAGCTCATCAAGGGAAAATCATAAGTCGCGTTTTTGCCCTTGAGTCACTCTACAAGCAGAAATCAGATAAATATCTGAGTATCAAAGTTGTTCATGATAACAACGAGCAACACAGGTAGTAACAAAGTAATCGCATAATTCCGCATTTTGTAAATGTAACCAAAATTTTGGAAAGATTATTGTTCACATAAAAATAGTATTAATTATGGTTCTTGAAAGTTTTGTGCTCTAATGTGATTTTTCACATTGAATCTAGGAATTGCATTTCTGTCATAACAGGGCCAATAAACAAAAAAGAGGTAAAGATGGATACATATACGAGCCCTAACACAAAAATGTTCGTACCATTATCTAATTTCATCTAAAAGTTTGTTTATTTTTGTAAAGTTAAAAATTAATTGTTTTTCTTTTATAAGACAATGAAATATATTGTTTGCACATCATATTAACAAAACTGTATTCAAGTAATGTGATATTAAAATATATAATCAAACTAATATTGATAACAATGCAACATTTTGCTGACACGTGTTCGGATGGAAACAAAAAGTGTTTACAATTTGACGTTTTGATTTAAGAAACAATTCTGTGAATCAATTGGCTTTAAAATATCGCGTGGTAAAGCAACAAACGGTGCAATCAGAGCTTTAATGATAAAATTGTTTCATCAAGGAAATAGTTTTAGGGATATATCTAAACAAATAAATGTCGCAAAGTCTACGGTGGCAGATATTGTAAACAAGTATGGAGGCACAGGTAGAACTCAAGTTCCAAGGTTGGTTGGCCACGTAAGGTCAGTCCTAGAATGCAAAGGTCTCTAGCCGTTGCTTACGGAAAAACAAAAGGTAAAAGGCGATTAGGGTGGGCTAAGGAACGGGTGGACTTACGAAGACAGGAAAAGGGGCATTTTTAGCAATGAATCGAAATTTGATGTTTGTGTGGGTGACCACCGATCCCGGGTTATAAGAAACAAAAACGAAGTGTTTCATAAAGACTGCCTAAAGAGAAAAGTAAAGTTTACAGCAGGTTTAATGGTATAGGGAAGCATATCTGCTGTTGGTGCTGGAAAACTTCACTTCATAGTCAGAACTGTAAACGCAGCTCAATATCAAAATATCCTTGAAACCAATTTGCTAGTGTCAATTCCAATTTTATCACCTGATAGAAACTTAATTTTTCAACAAGATGGGGCGTCATGTCATATGGCCAGTACCACGGAAAAATGGTTGCAAGATAATAATATTTCCGTCCTTGACGGGCTTCCAGTAGTCCTGATTTAAATATTATCGAAACAGTATGGCACAAAATGAAGCAGCAGTTAAGAAATGATCCACAACGAAACATTTCTGATTTGCGAATAAAATTACAAAATATATGGGATTCTTTTAAAGCGGAAAACTGCTAAAGCCTTGTTAAAACTATGCAAACCAGAATTAATGCTGTTATTAAGGCAAATGGAGGCATAACGAGCTATTGAAATGTTTAGTCCGAACACTTATGTTTCAGCCAAATATTCAAATATTGCGCTGTTATCAATATTAGTTTAGTTTTATAGTTTAATATCATATTACTTGATAATAATTTTGCTAATATGATGTCCAAACAATATATTTCAATGTCTTATAAAAAAAAATTATTTTGTAACCTTAAAAAAATAGACAAAAATATAAATATAAATTAGATAAGGTCCGAACTATTTTGTGTTTGGGCTTGTATACTAAATGTTTATGATAGGTAGTGTCTCCTCTGGTCGAACAGGCTACATCGTAAGCGAATCACCACCACTGATACAACTTTGCACTGGCACAGGACGGTGTGGATGTGGTATGTAGAGGATGATGTGAGCTGCTTATGCCTGGGTATAGAACAATTTGTCCCTGATTATTAACAATGACAGAGCTATTCACATCGCAGTATAGGTAGTACTTCTGCACTGTTAAACGTAAGTACACCTGTGGCTACTTGAATGTACGCCGATGTATTGGCTTGTCACTCTGGAAGGCAATGTTCCACAAAAGAGCCAAAAGTATGACTAAAACTACACAATTTTAGCGACAAACAGTGCTATGTAAAAATAAAGGCTTGGCTCATTCTAACCTATTCGTATTTGTTGATTTGACGCGTCTCTGTGAATGAATGAATGAATCGTGAAATTACAGGCATTCCGGCCAACATGAGGAGCAAGTGAGTAGCTCAGAGCTTCAAAGCGTCACAGAATGTGCGCTGAGGTCTCTTTCTCTACCCCGCCGCGCTCACACAAGGGATCCTCACTGCTATTTCGCGATGTAAACAAACCTACCCAGCTCGGAACGGAAACTTCGGAACGATCTTAATACACTGACACAAAGTAAAGAATTTTGGCGACAAACTAGTGCCATGTCATCCAAATGATTGGCTCATTTAACCTATCGAATTCGTTTGTTTGACGGTCTCTCTGAATGAATGAATGAATCGTGAAATTAGAGGCATTCCGCCACCATAAGGAGCCAGTGCATAGACCGCTTAAGCGGGAACCTTATGCACCTCTAATTTTCTTAGATCACCCAGCCTCGCCTTGACGGTCCTGAGGGGTCCAAGTAATGGACCCCCAGTATAGTCTGCCTATAGTAGCTCAGAGCTCACAGCGACATAAAACGTGCGCCGAGGTCTCTTCCTCTACCCGCAGCGCTCACACAAGGGATCCTCAGCCACCCCCATCACGTTTCAGGTGGCGCCTTATCGTGTTATGGCCAGACAACAGTCCCACCAGCAACCTTAGGTTGGCTCTACCCAGAGATAAGCAGAAACGTCCATCCTTAGCACTGAGCCCTTCAATAGGTTCCCGTGCCCGTACAAGACTCGAAGTAATCTTACAGGCACTTAGTGCCTCCATTGCAGCCTGGCTGTCGGATAAGATTGTTATTCTTCTCAAGAATGCGAGATACACAAACCAGAATCGCAGAGATTTCCGCCTGGAAAATAGTGGTGTATCCACCAAGAGGCAGAGATAGCCTAGCTCTAGGCCCAGAGTCCCTAGCGCCTGAGCCCTCTTCGGTGACCGAGCCGTTCGTGTACTAGACCTGCCCGCTCACTCCGGAGAGTCTCCGGCGACCGGCGTCCCACTCCTCCGTCGTTGGATGCTCCACATTAAACTTGCGGTTGAAGCAATATTTAGAGCCAGTATACCACTTTGGGTTTAAGCCCAAACCTTACACCGACAACACGTCTACAGGCCCACACTGAATCGCAAGCCTTGTTAACCTTGTATTCAACATGCTCTCTGCAGTTCAGTTTGCAGTCCAGGATAATTCCCAGATATTTTACTGATTGGGATAGGACTAATCCAGTCCCAATGAAGGTCGGCAAGACTAGC